CCAGTCTGGGCGACAGAGTGAGACTCCAACTCAAAAAAAAAAAAGGATTTTGTTCAAGAAGAATGCCATGAATGTGTGCAAAAATGAAGCCACAAAGAATGGTCTTCACAACATTATATACAATATTATATGTTATGAATGTAGTAAATATTGAATAGTTCAATGTTCTATGATTATATATTAGACAGTAGGTGATGATTACATAAGTCATAGCAGGACCAGACAACAGACCCTTATATTGCTATTAAACACAAAGCCACAACATGAATATTCCAAGCTATAGCACGGAAAGATGCCACAATATGAGGGTGAAACACCCCCCAAAACACGGAATTATGTTTTGGAGGGTGAGCCCCTTATAGTACAGGTTTCCCCCATTAGGTGAGTGTTCAAGAATCCAGCAGCATCCACAGACCAGCATCCACGGAGAAGCTGTATTTGGCCTCAGTGAATTTTTTTTTCTTTGAGTTGGAGACTCACTCTGTCGCTTAGACTGGAGTGCAGTGGCACGCTTCCGGCCACTGCAGCCTTGACCTGTTGGGCTCCTGCGATCCTTCTGTCTCAGCCTTCCAAGTAGCCGGAACTACAGGCGCACGCTACCACGCCCGGCTAGTTTTTTATTTACTGTAGAGACGAGGTCTTGCCAAGTTGCCTGGGTGGGTCTCGAACCCGCGGGCTCAGGCAATCCACTCGCCTTGGCCTCCCAAAGTGCTAGGATACAGGCTGAGTCACCGAGCCCGGCCAGTGAAATTTTTTTTTTGGAGAGTCTTTCAATGTTATTTGCCCATTTCATGATGGGAGATGTATGAGCACTTCACTGAGTGTTCAGCAGTTTTGGACCCAAAACAGCATAACCTCTGTGTTCTACCTCCTTATTCACCTGATTTCGTTTCACGTAACTTTTTTTTTGTTTCCCTGAGGAAAAAACTCCTCAAAGGGAAACATTTTGCCAATGTGGACGAGGTGAAACCAAAAAAAGCAGAAGCACTAAAAGGCATTCAAACTGACGAGTTCAAAAACGGTTTTGAGCAGTGGAGAAAGCGTCTCGATAGAAGTACTGCATCAAATGGAGAGAACTTTGAGGGTGACTGAAGTTTAAATATGTAAGAATAAATACAGCTTTTTCTAAATAAGTTCTAGGTTTTTTTCAGTGCCCTTGTATTATATTAAGTGGAAAAATAGGTCTAGGTAGTATATTGTACATTTTGGCAATAAAACCAGGTCGAGAATATATGTAATAGGCTAGGTGCAGTGGCTCATGCCTATAATCCCACATTTGGGAGGCTTAGTTAGGAGGATCACTTGAGGCCAGGAGCTTGAGACCAGCCTGGGCAACATAGTGAGTCCTTGTCTCTACAAAATATCACACCACACACACACACACACACACATACACACACACACACACACACACACACACACACACACACACACACACACACTAGCTGGGTGTGGTAGTATATGTCTGTATCCCAGCTACTCGGGAGGCTGAGAAGGGAGGACTGCCTGAGTCCAGGAGGTTGAGGCTATGGTGAGACAGGATAGTGCCACTGAATTCCAGCTTGGGCGACAGAGTGAGACCCAAAACAAAACAAAACCTTCTAAATTGGGGTAATAGGCAAGTACTAAGGTTTTCCTTTCTTCTGCGAAGACTTGGTTCTGAGAAATCTCACTTCTCCATGTTTGTCCAGGAGTAGGCAACAGGATGGGGTGATGACGAATCTGTGTGTATGGATATATCTTTAGTTGTGGGGAGCTTTGTTTAATTATTCAAAAGTAATACATGTTCATTTTAGAAAATAAAAGAGGGGAAAAAAAAAACAAGAAGCAAAGGAGATAAGGGGTCTGTCATACTTTTTTCATTCATATATTCTTTCTTGAGTCAGGGTCAAAAGCAGGGTGGAATGGAGGAAGAAAGACTACATGATCAGGGGAGTTGGCAGTTAGAATGCAGGTAGCCCCCCCGGACCCCACCACCTAGAGTTAGCAGGGAGAGGCAGCTTGTCCTGAAAGCACATCACAGGCCCCACAGAGGAGCATCCCAGCTTCAGAGGGAATCAAGGAGCACCAGCCCACAGTGATGTGAATGCCCCACATTCAGGCTCATTCTTCCTTACGAGCAGGCCCCAGGAACAGAGAGGCCTGCATGGTTGCATCTGCCGACACAGAAAAACATTCCACTGATTCTTCATGATTCATGAGCATTATAATTAGATCACCATCTTTCTGGAGAGGCAGCTGCGAACTCAACTCAGGAATGATGGCAAAAGACTCCTGGAATGACAGGCACACGTGTGCAAGCCTGCACCCGAATTCCAAGACGACGTCATGATCACACCAACTCTACCTTCCACCAGTTTACTGGCCTAGGCTTGAAGAGAGGATGTCAAGGGGGTGGGCAGTTTTTTTTATTCACCATCAACCTTCCTACCTAAACAGAAGGGCTGCAGTCTCAAGTAGCCTAAACTGTCAAAGACGGAGTGGAACCCTTAAAATGTGCACATACGTGGCTACCGCGCTAACACCCTCATCTTACTGAAAGCTAACTGCTTGTCACTTGGCGTGAGCCCAACACCCCCTACTAAAGAGAGAATTTCTGAGAGGAAAGTCTGGCTTTTTAATCGTCTTGAGGCACAAGTTAGGAAAGACTGAAAAAGACCACTCCAGACTATGTATCTAAAGCCAGCAACTATAAACTAGTGGCTCACTGAAAGTCAGTTTTCAAAAGACAAAAAAAAGTATTTGAGAAAGTATCTTTTTTTTGCCTAAATAGAGATATTTGGAAAACTGTCTTTCCAAATGCATAATACCTCATTCCATCATAGAGATGGGAGGGCTTAAATGACCTTCAACTAGTCAAAATATAGCTCTGGGTTGGGGATGGTAGCTCATGCCTGTAACTCCAGCACTTTGGGAAGCTAGGGTGACAGGACTGCTTAAGACCAGGCGCTTGAGACCAGACTGGGCAACATAGTGAGAGTTCATCTCTACCAAAAAATCATTTAGCTGGGCGTGGTGGT